TTCGGATGTTGTAAACCAGAAATCATGCCTATTTCATTGACAAACTCACGGTTTCCTTGCTTAGATTTTGAAGATAGTTGCTTAACTGCGATTATAGTACCATCCAACAATATACCCTGCATAAAAATATACCTTATTAATTTTCAGTTATAATAAAGTATAGGCCTATAAGTAAGAAACATAGATAATTAATCCAAGAATAGAGGGAAAAAAAAAAGGGATGGGGTTGTACAGTACCTTGTAGACAGACCCAAAACCGCCTTCCCCAATTTTGTTTTTAAGATCAAAGTTGTTAGTGGCAGCTTTAATTTGCCTGAAGGTGAAAAATCCAGTTTGCAGATCCAGTTCTCTAAGAGCTGTCCAAAGAGCAAGGTTAGGATGTTAACAATGTCTTACGTATTTACAACAGTTCTTTTGAACTTAGTGTCTGAGAGTGTATTTTCCCAGTTACGTGGCATTTGAAAGAATAATGAGAACAATGTACTACGTGAAACTTTCACAGTAGCTTAATAGCACCTTTTTCCCTTGATGTCTTGCTATCCAGACTGCCTTTCCACCAAAGAATGCCTAAAATCAAGAAAATGAGGCATAAAACCGAAGCTCCAACTGAAGCTCCCACCACAATAGGTACCTTGCTTTTCTTATCACGAGGAGGCGGGAACTCTACAAAATTATAGAAAATGAAAGGCAAAAAAAAAGGTTACAATGACATAAGCTTCTGTTCTATGATAAATTGTGTGTGCGCGCGTGTGTATGGGAGAGAGAGAACTAAAGTTTGCAACTCAGAATATACCAGACTCTAGAGAGATAGCTGATATAAGAGGACCGTATGTTCCTCTCGTTGGAGAAGCTGTTGTCCCTTTCCCAGACCAATGAAATCGGATCTCTAAAGTTTTGTTCTTAACCTCAACTGCTTTAAGTTCCTTAATGACTTCCTTATCAACCCCTTGTGCTTCCTTTTCAATGTCAAAATCCTTCCACACCAGTTTCTCCTGTAACAAACTTTATCAATCAGAAATCATCTCACTTAGCATAGACAGTGCATAAACAATGGGATTGGCTACCTGAATATAGATATCAAATATCCGTCTTCCAAGACTGTAAAAAGATCTATTGCCTCGGATTATTATCTCCGAAAAGTGAAGCTCCATTTCCGAAACAGCGTGCATAATATGTGAGAGAAAGAGGAGATAGGCGTGCACTTGTGTACAACTCAGAGTTGTTCATTCCAAGTGTGGATGCATTTTTTGCTATGTAGTCACTCGAGGTGGGGTTGGTAACATCCCAGAAATGTCCAGTAGTACTGACATCCCAGATAGGTCTCACAGGAACAAACTTTGCTGCACCTCCTAGGTCTGGATCCCCTTCAAAGTTAATTCGTCCAATGGTGGTTGCCTTTCCACCACAATTTATATGTAATGAGTACCGATCTATTCAGTAACAACCAAGAAACAACATCACATGAATTGTAATCAGATTAAAGCTAGTATTTGAGTAGATAAATGAAATTGAAATAGTCTTATCAGCAGTTTTCCATCAGGTCATATGAAATCTTAAATTAACTGA